CCCCATGCTACCCCAGCCAAACTACCTCAGCCCTGTCCTGGGTGGTCCCCCATTCTAGGGAGGAGAGAGGAATCCCCACTTCAGGGCTAACTCAGTCCTCAGCTCCTCGGATGCTAAGACTGCCAGGAGCAGAGGGGCCAGTGGTGAAGGTGCATTTTCAGAGTGGTGGCAGCATTAGCAGATGCTCAGGCTGGTTCAGGGCTGCCCCGTGGTGATTGATGTGCAGTTTTCCAGTGGTAATTGTGCACAGCCAATCCTAGGAAATATTTTCCTTGGGCTGGAAGAGATTATTTCCATGTCTTTTGCCCTTTTGGGCTGGGGTTTGGTCTGATCCTTTGTCTTCCCATTTAGATGCACGGGGGCATTTATACACCCGCGGGGCTTTTATACACCTCTCTTTCCTTCCCTTTCTCACAATAACCAGTCACCGGTCTCTCTCTCCAGCTCCCATGAGGCTATCTGCAGAAGAAGGAGGCTTCATCTCCTTAAATTGTTCCTATTTTTTGATGGACGACAGCAGGATACCTAATAATTTTACCTGGTGCAAAATGCTAACCGCAACTAGATGTCAACCTGTCGTCAGCGTCAAGATTGATCAGATTCTTAATATGCGAGAAAGGACCATGATAAAGATTGACCGGTGGAACAGAGTGATTATAGTGAAGCTGGTGGCGCTCCAGCTACGTGACTCGGGGGAATATCATTGTGAGACCCATCTCCAGGGAAGTACCGTGCTACTGAAAATGATCACACTGAATGTTTTGGGTGAGTTACTCAAAGAATAGTGGCCTTCTCTTAATAGTCAGCAAATTCTCATCCCCTGGTGGATGTGATAGCAGGGCAGAGCTCAGATGGGCTCCTCAGAGCAGGGAAATTGCAGGAGACCCAGAGACAACTTCTGAATTTACCTTTTGAGACTTTTGATATTTACTAGTCTTATAAACAAACTCGGCCAGATCCTCTGCCCACGTAAATCAGAGGGGAATCATTAGTTGTTATGGACCTACACCAATTTACACCAGCAAAAGAAATGGCCCCAGAACTGATCTGAATGTTGCCCAAATCTCTGACTGAACTCATCCCTTTGTTATAGTTCACAAATATTAAACTTTTCTTTGATCACTTGATAATTACCTGTTCTGTTCATTGCCTCTGGGGCACCTGGCATTGGCCACTGTCGGAAGACAGGACACTGGGCTAGATGGACCTTTGGTCTGATCCAGTATATCCGCTCTTATGTTCAATACCCATTTTCATGCCTCTCCACCCTTCCTACTCTGAGCCAGTATAGGACACAGAAATACAGGAAATAAATTGGGAGAAGCTATTCCTGTGGTCTTCCTGACTAGACTGAAAATGGAGCCTCACAAGGGATAGCCTGTCCCCGAGACAATTCCATCCCAATAACCCCGAAGAGGGTCAGATCATAAACTGAGCACTTGGATCCTTATCCAAGGGGACCTTTTCCCATATGTGACTTATCGGTCCCTGCTCACACGTATTCTCCGGCAGTAGCCATGCTTTCCCTTTTATCTGTCATAGACCCCAGACCTACCAGGTCCATCTCACCGGAGACACTCAGCAATTGGCAAGGTTGGGTGCCTGGAAACCAATGGTTGTCTAGACTATCCCTCTGGCCATTGCAGGGTTGTTCCTTCTAGTAGATTTTCCAAGGTGTGCGCCATACTAGCTGTAAATGTCTCCAGTGAAAAAGTGTAGCCCAATGGGTGGTGTGGGGGCCTGGGAATCAGAAGATGCGAGTTCTAGTTCCATAGCTGCTACTCACTTTCTGGTGGTATCGACACTAAACTTTTTTTGCTCAGATACTACGGTGAGAGGCACCACATAACAACCTGGATAGAACGCACAGGACTTCCGTGAGGGATTATTGGACTACACTCCAATAAGCCTCAGGGCTAGGACTCCTCTGGGCGGTAAAGGGCTCCTGCATCACACCCTATTGTCACATTCTCACTGTTAACCAACAAGCGATCACTCACGATTAGTACGAGAAGGCTCTAATGCCTCGTCATAATTTCCCATCCCTTCCAGAATGTCAAGCAGGCCAGGGCTATGCAGGGGAGGGTCACTCACTCTTGTGTTTATTTTCAGGAAAAAGTGTGTATTATGATACAGTTAATGAGGCTACTTCGCCTCCCACTAATGAGGGGGAAACCGCCCACCCAACTGTGGCCAGCAACAAGGAGCAGAGGTATGAACATCAAACAAACAAAAGTCTTCAGGGCTGACTTTAGAGTCCCCAGTGGGGATTTTCTGGATCTGCGGCAGATTAAAAGGGTGGGGTTGTAAAAGACACACACACACCCCATCCTCCGAGTCTCTTACAGGGTTTGATCTAACCTAGGGTTACCATATTCAAACATTTAAAAAAGAGGACACTCCAGGGGGTCCCGCCCCCGCCCCCACCCCCGCCCCAACTCCGCCCCTTCCCCGCCCCCGGCCCCGCCCCAAGCCCACCCCTTCTCCACCCCCATTCCAACCCTTTCCCCAAAGTCCCTGCCCCAACTCTGCCCCCTCCTCTGAGCACCCCACATTCCCCCTCCCGCTCTGATCT